CTGTACAGTGTGTACAGAAAATGGATGGATGGAAATAATATAAAGACATACTAAAAAATGTATTATAATATATTAATTCAGTTTTTTTTTCATGGGGATATTTATGTATTTGATGGAATATTTACTAATACTTTATTAATTACATTATTTACTGTACTGGTATTTTTGAATGAAACGGCTCCCCATGCTGTACATGTTACATTGTTTTGTCTGTAAGGAACCTTCTTGTTACTGAAGGACAAAATTGGACCTAAATTTCACCATTTAACCCCCCGCCCCCCACAAAAAAAATTTTTATTTTCAGACACACATCTTCAGAACAGCCTCTTGGTTCCAGTGTAACCAACACCAATTGAACTGATGTTCCTACAGCTCTGAGTGTAATGACACATGAGCCTTCTCACTCCAGTAACATGATCTATGCGAGTTCTTTGCAGGTGTTTTGTGTTTTGTGTCACATATCTGATTGTGTGTTTGCAGGCCGAGAGTGAGCTGTCTCTGTCCAGGAAGATGGCTGAGTGGAAACCATGGGAGCCACTGGTTGAGGAGCCTCCAGCTGGCCAGTGGAAGTGGCCCGCCTGAACAGACCTGCCAGTGTGTGTGTGTGTGTGTGTTTGTGTTTGAGGGAATGAAATTTATTTCTCTGCTTCTAATAAAATCAAGAATCTTGTCAATTGAAACTCATTTATTGTAAGATACAGGTTATAATGAACAGAACTACACCAACACCAGCAAACWGTTTTTTTCTTCAGCTCTCTGCAGATATAACTAGTTTATTCCACTGAGATTAAATAACTTCTCAGACTGACTGTGAACTCAGTTAAACTTCAGCTGATTCTACAGAACAGCGTCCTCTTCAGGCTTTGGCTTCCTGACCTCCACTGGTGGCTCTCTGTAACAGCTGGAGCATGATGGGATAGATGGGGGCAAACTCTTTTCCCTGCCGAGTTCGGACCACCTGCACATAGGCCTCGAGGGCTCCTCTGAGGGGACAATAAAAAAAGCATCAATATTTGTTCATACACTGCTGATGTAAAGGCCCTGTCACACTAAACAACTTATACCAACTTCTGAACATTTTAAAGGGATCCATGATTAGTTGTAACGTTAGACTTTATTTGATAAACATATATTTAACTGTAAAATAAAGACTGTACAAATAC